GGGCGCTGCACCAGTTTGGCGCTGACCTCGACGGGCTCCTGGACTGGCTGCGCGACGCCTACCGCCTAGCGGCCGCGGGCGACTTCGGCCACGACGAAGCGTCCAGCCGCCGCCTGGCGCGCCAGCACCGAGCGCTCACTGGGGAGGTGGAGGCGCATCGCGGGCCCGTGGGCGGCCTGCGGCGTCAGCTGGCTACTCTGGGAGGCGCCAGCGGGGCTGGGCCCCTGGTGGTGGCCCTGCAGGTGCGCGTGGTGGAGGCCGAGCAGCTGTTTGCCGAGGTGACCGAGGTGGCCGCGCTGCGGCGTCAGTGGCTGCGAGATGCCCTCGCTGTCTACCGCATGTTCGGCGAGGTGCACGCGTGCGAGCTGTGGATCGGGGAGAAGGAGCAGTGGCTGCTCACCATGCGTGTGCCTGATTCCCTGGATGACGTCGAGGTGGTGCAGCACCGGTGAGCGCTCGCCGCGGGGCGCCGCCCTCTCCTCACTAGGCTCACCCTCCACCGGTCAGATAATTCCTGTGGCCGCTCAGCTGGGAGCCCAGCTTCCGGGAAAATGGGCTTAGTCCTGACCTCACAAGCTTGTGGTGAACAGTGAATGAATGAATATGTGTAAAACACGCAGCAAATAGCCGGGGAACAGGGAGCCTTCTGGGAGCTCTCACTGTTATCACTGAGGTTCCCCGTAGTCAACCTGAGCTCCCCCAGGGCCACCCCAGCTCTGTCCCTCCCCTGGGACTCCCACTGCCCCTGTACAAATGTCACCTCCCTAGCTGGTGATATAACTCCAGTCTCGTCCCTTGCTGTTCCCTCATCCCGATTTATGTTTCTTCATAGCACGTATTACCTGTGACACGTCAAATACTGATTTTTCTGTTGGCTGCCTTAGTGGTGAGTTGTTCAATGAGTGGATGATCCCTCTCTCACTGAGCATCTTGTTCACCCATTCATTCACTTCACCGGTGCTTACTGAGCTCCTGCTCCCTTCTCGGTCTTGTGCTGGGTGTTGCTGAGAACACAGGCCTGCTCCCTGCCCTTACTGTGCCCAGAGTCACCCGAGCCACAGCCCTGGGCACTGCTGTAGACACGGGATGACTGCCCAGCTTTACTTGCCATGTGGAGGGTGGGTTGGAGGCTGTGAGTGGTGACTGGGAGCCCGGAGAGGCAGCTAGGGAAGGGGACCGCTCTGGGGGGAGAGAACGGGACTGGACCAGCGTGGGAGGTCAGATGGACAGAACATGGAGCCCCAGGCAGGGGTTGGGGTTGTCCAGAATAGGGACCAGGGCTCTGGACGGAGGGACAGTGGGGCTATTCAGGAGATAGGGACCTAGAAGAAAAAATCAGGTGAGCTGCTGTAGTCAGTTTGGGTCACAGTGAGGGTGGGGAGCCCTGAGGAGGTCTGCGGCAGCCTTTGAGGGTGGGGACCGGTGCAACAGGAGCCTGGAGATTGAGGCTGCAGAAGGTGAGCTGGAGCCACAAGTTCAAGAGTGAGGATGGAGACCCGGGGGTGGGGGGGAGTGGGGGTGTGCAATGTGACCCAGGCAGGAGGCCGTGGCGAGCTCAGACGCCCGGGACAGAGCCCTGAATCTGAAGTGGCAGGGAGAAGGGGAAGCCAGCAGAGGACCCCGGGAGGCTGGAGACTTAGGAGAACCGAGAGCAGGCACTTTCATGGAATCGAAGCTGTGGCAGGTCCTCAGGGCCAGGCGTCTGAGCACACCCCTCCTCCTGCAGATTTGAGAGTCTGGACCAAGAGATGAACAGTCTGATGGGCCGAGTCCTAGACGTGAACCACACAGTCCAGGAACTGGTAGAAGGAGGCCACCCCAGCTCCGATGAGGTGCGCTCCTGCCAGGACCACCTCAACAGCAGGTAGGCAGGGCCTGGGCTGGCAGTCCTATCTCCCACCAGTTCTCCTCATTATTGCTGTTGTCATTCACTCAAGGAAACGAAGAAGGTGCCCTTTCAAACCCCTGTGAGGTAGGGGCTGGGCTATCGTGTGTCCATTTTACTGACAGGGAAACTGAGGCACAGAGGGGTCACTAGCCAAAGAGCGGGCAGCTCAGATTGGACTCCAGGCCACTGGGCTCATGTTCTGTGCATGTCACCTGGATAATACATCTGGATAACACACTGCCTCTGAACTGAGGGAAACTGAGGCCCAGAGAAGTGTTGTCACTTGCCTGGGGACACAGAGCAATACATTTTAAAAAAAGATTTATTTATTTACACATACAGAACTGGGATACGGGTCAGAGGTGCAGGGGCTGAGAGGATTCACCAGAGGCAGAGTGGGGAGCAGAACAGGCAGATGGACTGAAATCTACTGCTGAGGGGGCAGCAGGGAGACAGGAGAGGTCTGCTGTGCCCTGTGGGTCACTCCCTGGGGGTGGGGGGATTGAACTGGTGCTTTAACTTGTTGCGCCACCAGGGAGGTTCCAGAGCAATAGATTTTTTTTCCCCATTAATTTATTTTGAAATAGAACTTTTCGTACCTCACACCTGACAGTGTGTGTGTGCTGTTACCAGATGTTAGGCTTTACTACTTGCGGAACCCCAAACTCTAGTCTCAGAACCCATTTGTGTTCTGAAAGGCTATTAAGTAGCCCTAGAATTTATTTCGTGAGCTATAGCTCTCCATATTCCCTACATGAGGAGTGAATACTGAGAAAAACATTTTAAATGAAAAGTAACTTCTTCAAAACAAACAAAATGTAGCAAGAAGAAGGACATTTTGCTTTGTGCAAACCCCTGTGCCCTCGCGGCTTCGGGGAAGGCGGGTGAGTTCTCACCTTTGCTTCTGCATCAGCCTCGGCCATGCAGCCTCAGGAAAACTCCATTCTACACTTGGGAGACAGTGAGCGCGAAAGGCAGATGTTTTCACCTCGCTCAGATTACTGTGCATTTGCGAATCTGCTGCCCTAAGCAGAAGTGCCCAGCTCAGGGGCATCACTAACGTTCCAAGACCCCCCTGGCTGGGTCCTCAAACTGGGTGGGTGGGTGCTCCCGGCCCGAGACGAGTTCCTGCCCTCTCCAGCCGCCCTCCCTCTCCCGGGCAGGTGGAACCGCATCGTGGAGCTGGTGGAACAGCGCAAAGAGGAAGTGAGCGCGGTGCTGCTGGTGGAGAACCACGTGCTGGAGGTGGCCGAGGTGCGCGCGCAAGTGCGCGAGAAGCGGCGGGCAGTGGAGGGGGCGCCCAGAGCCGGCGGCGCCCTACAGTGGCGCCTGAGCGGCCTGGAGGCGGCTCTGCAAGCGCTGGAGCCGCGCCAGGCGGCCCTCGTGGAGGAGGCGGCCCTCCTGGCTGCGCGCTTCCCGGCGCAAGGGGCACGGCTGCGCCAGGGAGCGGAGGAACTGGGCGCCGAGTGGGGCGCGCTGGCCAGCTCGGCTCAGGCCTGCGGAGAGGCGGTGGCGGCGGCCGGGCGCCTGCAGCGCTTCCTGCACGACCTCGACGCTTTTCTGGACTGGCTGGTGCGCGCCCAGGAGGCGGCGGGTGGCAGCGAGGGGCCCCTGCCCGGCAGCTTGGAAGAGGCGGACGCGCTGCTGGCGCGCCACGCGGCGCTCAAGGAGGAGGTGGACCGGCACGAGGAGGACTACGCGCGCATCGTGGCGGCCAGCGAGGCGCTGCTAGCGGCCGACGGCGCCGAGCTGGGCCCGGGCTTGGCTCTCGACGAGTGGCTGCCGCACCTGGAACTCGGCTGGCACAAGCTGCTGGGCCTGTGGGAGACGCGCAGGGAGGCCCTGGTGCAGGCGCACGTCTACCAGCTCTTCCTGCGTGACCTACGCCAGGCGTGCACGGTGCTGCGCAACCAGGTGCCCATTTGGGGCCTCACACGGGTGTGGGTCAGAGGCCGCGGGGGTTTTCAGGGCAGGGAGATGCGTTTGCGGGCCCACTGGGGTCGTGGCCCATCTGGGGTCAGTGAGTGGATCATTGCGCATGAGTGGGCGTGAGCTGGGAAGCTGATGGAGGCGCGTGGGTGAGTGGCTCAGCTGAGGTGACTGAAAGTGTATGGACTAGGTTCTCCCGCACTGGGTACTTACTGGAGTGGCTGCCTGGGTTTGTGGATTATTTGGAAGGAAATGAGGATGACGTGGACTGGTGATAGCAGGACAGTGGGATTCAGAGGCTCTTGCCTGGTGGGACAACAGGATAAAGATTTTGGAAGGAGGTGACCAGGACTGAGGGGTGACTGGATTATGTGGATTGCTAAACTGGTAGGTAATTTTGTTACGGGAGTGGCAATTTGCAGATTCTCTGGAGGGGGTCATAGTGTCGGTGGTTATCTGGGACCAGCTGACTCCATCATTCTGGGATAGGAACCCCATCTTTGGATTATCCGATAGTAGGTAACAACTTTGGGGGAACATTAAAAAGAGTGACCACCTGTGCTGGTTATCTAGAGAAAACTAACCCAGCTGGAGGATTATTTTGGGGAGAGGGACAGACAGAGAGTCCCTGGAATAATGTTTCTAACTGGAGACTTTGAGAGTGCCTTTCTGACCCACTGTTTCAGCGGTAAGAAAATTGTGTGTCTCTGTGTGCGCTCATGAATGTCTGTGTTAGTGAGAGATGGTAAACAGTAAATGCTCTTAAAATACCGTGTCAGGAATATGCCATGAAAATAAAATGGGGTGAAGAGATACAGTGGCTGGAGGAAGTCAGAGACCTGAAAGCGAAGCCCCAGCCGTGGGGGCTGTGGAGGGGCAGACTGCCAGCGTGTGCAAAGGCCCTGAGGCAGGATTGTGTGATGCTAGGGCTCAGTGAGCCAGGGAGGCGGCAGTATGGCGGGCAAGGGGCAGCCTCTCCCAGGGCCTGGAAGGGACGGGAAAACCTGAGCCCCCTCCTTTCGCAGGAGATGGCCCTGTCGGGTGTGGAGCTACCAGGCACAGTGGAGTCTGTGGAGGAGGCCTTGAAACAGCACCGGGACTTCCTCACCACCATGGAGCTGAACCAACAGAAGATGCAGGTGGCCGTGCAGGCGGTGGAGAGCCTGCTGAGGCAGGGCAACATCTACGGGGAGCAGGCCCAGGAGGCTGTGACCCAGATGCTGGAGAAGTAGGTCCCTCAAGCCCCAGGGCGTAGGGGTTCAGGCACAGGGGAGGGGCAAGGAGGCCTGGGTTCTGCACTTTCCCTGCACAGTATCTGCTTCTCTGTCCCGCTCTGATTTCGACTTCATTCCATATTGTTTGCAGTTTTATGTGCATGGTATTTTTGCACAAAGGTAACTTGCAAACTCAAAAAGCACCCTCGCCCCCATATCTGCCTGCCGTTCTGGCTCCTCCTTGGGAAACCCAGGGACAGCCCCCCACTTCAGCAGGGGAAGGCCGACTATGGGTTCTGCCCCAGCTTTCCAAATGGGACATATGTCCTGCCACACTGACTTGTAGGACACTGTGGATGAGCACCCAGAGCTCCAGGGTGCGTGCGTGCGTGTGCATGTGTGAGTGTGTGCATGTGTGAGCGTATATGTGCGTGCAAGCATGCATGTGTGTGCACGTATATGTGTGTGCATGTGCGAGCGTGTGAGTGTGCGCAAGTGCGTGTGTGCAAGCGTGTGAGTTTCTATGAGTGTGTGAACGCATGTGTGCAAGCATGTGAGTGTGCAAGCGTGTGAGTGTGCACGTACGTGTGTGCGTGTGTGGACATGTGAGCGTGCACACACTGTGTGCATGTGAGTGTGTGCACATGTGTGCGTGCATGCACAGGGGAGCACGTGGCGTTCGGCTTCCCCTGCACTTCATTCTCCGATTCTGCGGCCATCTGTCTCTCGCCACTGCCCTGCCTCTCGTTTGTCCTTGCACTAGCCAAGCAAAGACACTGAGCATCTGCTTTACGCCAGGCACTATTCTAGGCCCTAAACAAAATAGCAGCTCCCTCAAAAAAAAAAAAAAGTGCAGCCCTCAAGGAGCGTCCAGTGGTCACTGGTGCTGCCCCTCCTGGTCACTCCAACTTTCTGTCTGGCAAGGGCCAGAAGGGATCCCGGGCACGCCCCCTTCTGTCATTCTATCTCTTGGTGGGCAGTGAGCGCCTGGACTCCCTACCAGCCCCAGTTCAATATTGGGGATTCGGAGCCAGAGGCCTGGACCTTTCTGTCTTTTGTCCCCCATTTCTTGAGTCTTTGTTGAGTCCCGGATGAGAGGAGGAGCCTGGAGGACGGCTCCTTCTGACTCACCTTCATCCACTGGGAATTGACCACTGGGAATTGCTGCTTTCATTCTACTGCTTATTCATGAACGCTCCGCCAGTTTATCAGGCACCGAGTCCCGGCGCTGTGTGGGGCAGGGCTGGCCACACAGCAGTGACCAGAACAGAACACGATTCCTGCCCTCGTAGGGCTTACCCTGACCTGAGCAGGAAGATCCTGAGCCCAGAACAGGCAGGGCTGGCCGCGGGTGCTGTAGGGGCAGTGGGAATCCAACAGGGGTGTATCTACCCCAAGCCCGGGCTGGGTGAGGCTGGGAAACAGCGGAACTGAGATGGGCCCAGAACTGCCTCTGCCTTGGGGGTCCCACCCATGTACTTGTTTAGGACACGTCGCCCACCCAGTGGGAGTGACCCAAACTCTGTATCCCGAGGGGAGGCCTTTCCCTACGCCTCAGACGGACAGAGCCATGCAGGGTTTGGGCTGGGCCCTCTGGTCAGAAAAGGCCGGGTTCGAGTCTCAGCCTCACCCAACCCATGAGATTCGGGCACGTCACTCACTAGCTGTCTGCCTGGCCCAGCCGGGCATGTAGATGCTCTTATCCTCATCTTGCAAGTGATACTCAGAAAGGGTCACTGGCTTAGTCAAGATCACAGCCAGGATACTTCCTGCCATTTTTAAAAAAGATTTTTAATTTATTTATGCATACAAGAACTGAGGTGCAGGCCAGAGGTGCAGGGGATGAGAAGATTCACCAGAGACAGAGTAGGGAGCAGAACAGGCAGATCTGCTGAAATCCACGGCTGAGGGGAGCAGAGGGTGAGACAGGAGAGGCCTGCTGCACCCTGTGGGTCAGCTCCCTGGCCGGGGATCGGACTCCTGCACCAGTGGCTGGGGACAGCTTCACAGTGCTGCGCTTTATCCTGTTGCGCCACCAGGGAGGGCCCTTCCTGCCATTTTGAGCCCTCCTAGAGAGGAGGGGTTGTTACCCTCTCCCCCCCACTTCACTGATGCTAGACAGGCTGACCAGAGAGCCTGGAGCTTCTGACTTCAGTTCAATTCCAGAGGCATTTCCCCTTTCCTGGCTCCTGAGCTGAGCCTCAGCAGGAGGGGTCACTTCTTGCCTGTGGATGTTCCTATCCTCATTTTGCAAGTGGTGCTCAGAAAGGGTCACTGACCCTTCTGCTGGCCACTCCTGCTCCTCTTCCCAGCTCTGCCTCTGGGTTCCTCTTCTACTCGCTCTGTGTCTGTGTCCTGCTCTCTCTCCCCGTCCCTGTCTCTCTTGCATCCACACACCCCATGTATTGAACACCTGCTGTGTGCCAGGTCTTTTGATTCCCTAGGCACTGGGAATATAGCTGGGAACAGCACAAACATTCCTCAGGAAGTAACACCCTGGTGGGGAAGACAGACAAGACAGAGACGTAGCATAGCTAGAGTAGTGGATGGTGGTCGGTGCCAGCAGGAGAATGAAGGAAGCTGGGGAAGCCAGACAGTGCTGGGGAGAAGTCAGGAGGGCCTCACTGAGGTGACTTCAGAAGCACCTGCACCCGGCTGCTTCTCCTCCATCTCCCCGGGCGAGAGGCAGTTACCTGAGCTGAAGTGGGATGCTCCTGCCTCTCCACCCAGGCGCTTGGTGCTGCAGCGTGTGGTGTTGCCAATCAGCACCGGGTGGCAGAGCCTGCCCCAGCCTGGCCACTGCACGTGGGCCAAGGGCCGACCTGCCGCCAGCGCCCGCCGGCCCTCCGTGTGCTTCCAGCCCCATCGCCCTCACACCCTCCTGCACCCTCTGGCTGCCTCTGGCATCTTGCCAGTGTCTGCCTGTCTTTCCCTAGATTATCCCGCCCTGACCCTCTCTGGCACACATCTGCCTCTTTTTCTCTCCTTGCCTGCTGCTTTCTGGCCCTCTGAGTCATTCCTTTCCCTGGTTTCTCTCTCCTCTTCCTTCTCTTTGCCTCTGTTCTTGTAGTTGTGTCTTCTCTGTCCAGTGCTTTCTCTCTCCCCATTGCCAGGTGTCGCTGGCTTTGCCCGGCTGATGTTTCTGCCGCTCCCCTCAGCCCTGTCTTGTTTTGTCCTCCTTGCTCTTACATGTGTCCCAGACTCTTACACATGTTCCCAGTCCTGCCAAGCCCGATGCCTTTACATCTCTACTGTCAGCACCCGGGGACCCAGAATTCCCCCAGCTCTTTTCTCCCCATCCCCAGGTGCCAAGAAAACCAACTACGGGCCCATCAGTGGATGCAGAAGCTTCACGACCAACTTGAGCTGCAGCACTTCCTCCGCGACTGCCACGAGGTAGGCACCCCAGCTGTGCTGGGCTCCGCGAATTACTCGTATGGAAATAAGTGCTCCCCCCGCTGGGGCGCGGAGGGGGTGGGGACTAAGTGGGTCGCGGAGAGACTTTCACGCCTCGCCGCCAGGGGGCGCACGGAGCTCAGGCTCAGTGCGCATGCTCTGCTCCCCCCACCCCCGCCCACACGGGCTCGGGGAGGGAGGGGCCTGGGCACCCCTGGCAACGGCGCGCTCGCGCTTACGGACCCGCGGGAACGCACGCTGATCTCACCTTTCTCTTTGGAGGTTTATGAGAAGTGCCCTGCTGAGGGCCGGTTGGGCGGGG